CAATTGACCAGATAACTACTAATTATCGTGACATATTCTTGGTATACTCTGAAAGCATAGTGCATTTCAGTAGCAGTTTCTCTTTTCATTTTCCTTTGGGTTACAGCTGATGTCTTGGTGATACATCCAAAATTGGGAGGATGACTTTAAGACACTGTGTGTTAGTTTTGTTTTGAAGGTTTGTTATTTTCACTTAAAACTGGACATTTAAGCATTCATTTTCAGGAGAACTTTGCATATTATCTCTTCATGAGCTCAAGTTTGCCTTTTTCTCTGAAATACTGTCCTAAAGATCTGAAAACAGAACATTCCTCCATATTTAGGTTCTCATGATCTGCTCAATACATCATAAAATTGGAGATGTTTTCCTGGGATAAGTAACAATAAAGTATATAGGTGTTATAATATATGGAATGTTAATTCAATTTCATGGACAAGGAAACATAAAAGGAAATAATGAGTCTATTTCAGATTCTCTTTCATCTTACTTTAAATGCAGAAAAAATTAATCTAAAACTGTATGGGGCAGACAGCTAAAAACCAGCTTTCTATAATTTTCATAGTATTTCATATTTGAGATTAGGTAGTGATACCTTCATTATTGCTTTTTTGCTGAATTACATCAGAAAGTAAAATATTAAATGTAGGATAGGAAATAGTGTGAAAATTGCTCCAGGAATTCAGTAGCATCTTTAATACTGCTGTAAAACATGAGGGATCTAGTCTTATTAGGTTAAGACTCTTTCATCTCTAATTAATTACAAAAGGGCTTCAGGGTTTCCTTTTAAAATTTTTAAATATTTGCTTTTAAGAAAATCAGAGTTACTTTTCTCATCTTTTCTCTCCTACTTTATGGCTGCACTACTTGTGATGAGTTGCATGTCTCAAAGGGCAACTGTGAATAAAAGAATATACTTCCTGTAATAAGATTTTCCCAAATACACTTCAGAAAATGTTTCTGAAATCCTTGTGATTGTTTTATTTACATGCATGACACATCTTAAATATGTAAATCAACTCATTGCTCTATACAATCTAGGTAGAATTCTCTGTCAGCATTTTTGCCAAGTACCTGGTTGAGTCCACAGTACAGAAAATTGATCTGAGTTGTTATTGGTGAGAACTTGAAAGTACAAAGCCAACAACTGGAGTTGTACTCAGTGTTCAGTAGCTGGAGGAGCTACAAACAAGTTTGACCCTGGGTAAAAATAACTCTTTATGTCTGAATTCCAGTTCACTCTTCTACAGATTGTGTCTCAGGCAGTTGATTATAGCAATGTCTTGGGAATCAGATATCAGAGCTTTTATTCACGGGCTTGTCATCACCTGGAACCTTGGAAAAATTATGTTAACTAGTCTATACTTCAGCATACCCATCTACAAATATTCACTCTGTTTACCTGCTGTTTTGCATTTAAGCAAGTCAACCAACCAATATTTTTTTAAAAAAATCATTATTTTAAAATTTTAGACCTTTGATAGATGATGACTCTTTTTTTTTTTCATGATTAGAGCAGTCCAACTTGCCTTCATAATAGTCTGTTTCATTTAAATGTACCATCAAGTGATTACAAAAATTGAATGAGGATCAGAAAGGTCTGTAATTGTTAATGAAATTCAGGACAGTTGAACAGTAGGTGTTTTCCTGTTTAAATAGTTAATATATCTAGGAAAAATTGCAAGGCAATGCAATAAACAAAGTGCTGATTTTAACCCAGTAATTGCTTCCTAATCAGGATCTGGTCTTTTGACACTTCCTGTCCTTGGAGGACAATGTCTTTTAATATTTGTTATAGTTCATGCTTTTAGAATGGTTTTTAAATGCAAATTTATTCTTCATAAAACAATGAATTTTAATTAATTGTATGCAAATAACAGTTCTTGACTTGATTTAAGAATTAAACGTTGCCTTGATGGAGATATATATTTTATATTCTGTAGAGCTGGTTTGAGACAGCTGGAAACTAGTTTGTGAAGGAAAATAGCAGGAAGGCTAAATTACAGCGGTGAATGATACATTGATACAAGCATCTATCTATAGATAAGGCTGAGAATAATGCTTGTTATTTCTGTCTCAAAACTGAAGATTGTTAGTGAAGGTGAAGAATTGGTGAATTCTAGTTTTCTTTCAGCTCTGACGGTTTTGATGTGAGCAATTGTCCTCCAGGTACTACAACTGAGATCAGAAAGCTCATTTGAATTAACGTGGGAGTAGGATTTGAGCAAAGATACCAAATGATGTGTTCTATTTTCAGCTCTGTTCTAACACAGCAGGCAAGTGGTTATCTTTAAGCACTTAAATAGTCTTTGTAGGGTCAGCATGACTCTATGCCTTGCACTTAAATTTTTATATAAGGGGAGCAGGCTAGCAGCCACTATTTCAGCTGCCTGGTTTTGGAGCTTTCCTAGAAACACAGACATTCCAGTTTAACTGAGTTTTGGGGGTCTGTAAGAGGTTATTGTGTCTTGCACCTGCACTGTGGGTCCAGTTCATGTCTTTTGATGTTATGATTTCAGTGGGTTTCCTAGGAGAAATTTTATGACTGCAGAGCATGCAGCAGAAACTGTTTCTAGGACTTCTGTGGACCCTTTAAGTAAACTCAGGTTAGCTTCTCACACGACTTTGTGCTTTAATTGTTTGCAGAACTGTAACCATGATCTGCACTTGAGTTAAGCCTCTTCTAATTTCTGTCTAATCATTTATGAAACTGCAGAGAAGGTGGCATGTGCATGTATATTGTTAAGTCCTATGAGCATACTGCATGAAAAAGCTCCATCACCCTTTTCTAGATGGAAGTGTACCTGCATTACAGACAGTTCTAGATCCCTAAAGAATGATTTATGAACTTGTGATCTTACAACAGGTTTTTTGTTAAAAACAAAACATTTTTATGAAAATACTATGCTTCCACTGTATGTTAAGATGTCTGTGTATGTATAGATACGGACAAACACCCTGAAACCTTTCCAAGCTCTAACCTATTATTTAAAAACTCATTACCTCTACTTTTCTGAAAGCTATTTTAGCCTGCCTGTGGAAAGTATTATGACAGTAACCACAGTTAATGCAATAAAGTGATAGAAAATCTCTTTGTGTCTTCCCTTACTGAAGAGCATTTTTTCATTTTTTTTCTTTTTAGAGTCAGTAACCGTATCAATGCATTAAGAAGTAAGAGACTGGAAGTGCAGTCTGTTTCATGTTGCTTATTAACAAAAAAAGGTAGTGAACCAATCATGATGAAATAGTATTCTTGTTTGTAATGCAGGCTGGTTTTGTTTTAATACCTACTGTGTAAATAATTACTTCAATAGTTTAATGTTTTCTAGAAAAAGACTACAGAATTGGGTTGCCAAGTCAGCAGATGTCCTTTTTAAATCAAAAGGTACTGCTGGACAGTAATCACAGCACAGAAATTACGTGTTTGAGTCATGGGAGCTGGGGGTTCTTTCACCTCATGCTAGCACAGACTTTTAGCCCCAGCTGCAGTTTTGAGAGATGTGAACATCTACCTGTCTTTTTAAAGAAGGCTAAGTGAGGAAGAAACAAGGATGCTGAAGCACCTACTTAAATGTACTGGAATGTTTCGGTTCTGACACCTCAGAAATCTTAACAGAATTTATCTACTTGTCTCCTGGTGAGCCCCTCCCAGGTCACTTTCATAGTGCTCAGTACTCACTTTCAGAGAAACTAGCCCTTACACAAGGAAAAGAGGGTACAGATTCTGAAGGAAGAAATGTGTTAAATCCCCCAGAGTGGACCTTAGTTCTCTGCCTGGGACTCAACAGTGACACCACTGTCCTTGCATGCTGAGAGCAGCAAATTTACCTAGAGTGGTGGAGCAGAAGAGCTTTGTCTACAAGCTGTACTCAGAGATGAAAAGCCTGCTGTAGTCCTAGAAAAGTATGACACTGAACAAGGAAATGCCATGATTTCATGTATGTACTAAGTCAGTCCTTGTTAACGAATAGGAAGTGCTAACCAATACTCAGTACTCTTGTGTATGAAGTGTAGTATGCTTGGTCAGATATATGTAATGCTTCTAAATGATTTTCTGGGAACTTTAGGTTGAAGAGTGCTGCCTGTGCTTTCTAGCTTTTATTCCTGACTCCTGGCAGTTGAGACACAAGCTAATGACAGCTGTTTAGGAGTGTTTTATAAGCAGTTTAAAATTGCTCACAAATATCTCCTTTTCTTCCTACTTGTAGTTGAAATGAAAAAATGCATTATTCTAAATAGGATAAAATGGGTTTGCATGGTGATTGTAATGCACAAGCTTTGAAAGTCATTTAATAAGCAGCAACTTTTAACCTATTAAGATTAAGCAATGTGTTTATAAACACCAGGAACTGTGATAATGTCAGGGGTTAGCTTTTTGTAAACGAGTGGGGGCTTGGGCTTTGTTGTTGGAAAACCAGCTGACGGCTGTGCAACGCTTATCCCCGATGGTTACTTCCTAAATAAAGACGATTATTTACCCTGAGTGCTTATGCTGCGCCCTGTCAAATAATTTCGGCGCTCAAATTTGGTTGCATCGGAAGAGCTTCCCTGAGCGCGTTCGCACGGTAATTTGCAACCTCCGGGCCGGGTGGCTTGCAGCGGTGCTCCATCGCTGCCCCGGCCTTTTCGCTGTGCCCGCTGTGGCCAGTGCCGCACGACAAGGGGCAGCGGGGGGCTCAGGCTGCGGCGGGGGCCGGGGCGCGGCGGTGCCTGGGCGGGCGCGGTGCCGGGGCCGCGGGCCGGGCAGGGCCGGGCAGGGCCGGGCCGGGCGGCTGTTGGCTGTTGCCATGGCTCCGGCAAGCCGGGGGAGCCCAATGAGCGCTCTGCGGCGGTGCCGAGGGGACCAGCCATTTTGCTTATGGAAAACAATGTGACATATTATGCTGTGCCGTACCGGGGAATAAACAAAAATCCCGTCGGGGGACGCAGCAGAAGCCGGGCATATGAGTGAGTAATTCCGGCGACCCGGCGGGCCCGCGAGCTGCCATTTTGACAGACTGGCGGCTGCCGCTCCCGCCGCTGATGGGAGGAGGTGGAATGCGGGGCGATAATGCTGCATATCTGCTGTCAGGCAGCGGAGCGGGGTTTTGTCTTGTAAAGGCAAGGCTCCTCTGCAGTGCCGTCTCGGCAGCTCGCTAGCTGCTGCTCGGAGCGGGAGCCGGGGATCCCGGAGAAGGGTGTCGCCCTTCCTCCCGCCGCTCTGGTGCGCGGCTGGCCGGGGCCGGGCGCTGCCGAGGAGCAGGTGTGCGAGGGCTCGGCCGGGCTGCCCTGCGGGCTCCGCGCTGCGCCTCGGCAGGTTGGCGTGGGAGCTGCTGCCGCTGGACTCCTGCACAACAGGGAGCCGCTGTGCGCCTCGGCTGCGGGGAGAGAGAGAGGTACGCCTGAGTGCGGTTCTGTGAGACACAGCTGAGCGCAACTTCATGCGAGAAATATGCTCCTCTAGGTATCTGTGCGTGGAGAGGTTGGCTTTGGTCAGTGGCTGGTTCGGAGTGGTTGCTGAATTCATTGATCTGACTGCGTTTTCCTTATGTGTTTCGATGTGGTGTGTTCCATATGGTTGCTGATTCAGAAGGATGTTTCCAGTAGTTGATAAAATTTTATGCCTGCACTAAAAGGCAAGGATTTTTTTTTTTTTTTTTTGGTTAGGATTTTCATTGTGCTTTTTACCGTCAGGATAGCATGGGTGAAATAAAATATCATAGAACCCGTGAGCATGTTCGAAAAGCTGTACATCGCTGAGTTCATCATTAGTGGATTCCATGCATTGTGTTCAGCCTCAGTGTTAGATTTAAATTGTCCAACTGCTGCTGTGCAGTATGTAGGTCATAATAAAAAGCAGCTTTTTCACCAGCTTTCAATGGACTGCATGCCCCAGTGCTGGGGTTGATTAGTCTGTGGTACTTGTGCTGTTAAGAGCAGTGGTATTATAGCTGGCTCACACCTCCTTTTTAAAGATATCGCACGTACCGTGCTAGACAGAGCACAACACACCCATTGTGTCCCTCCGTTTGGCGTTCAGTAAAAGGAAGGAAACGAGCACTCCACATGGAGCACCAGCACATTAATAGCACAAGACGGTTAAACTTTTATTGAACAATCAGTGATTCTGAGATAGTGTTTTTATTTTCTCTACCCGCAGTAGACTAAGACAAATGTAATGGGAGGGAGGGGTCTTCTAATAGGCACCTCTGTTAGTGCTGTAGCTTTTCAATGCAAAATTAATTGTTCTGAATAGTTATTAATCACAACACATCTGCTTTAGAGGTGAAAACTCTAGGTAGACCTAGGTCAATAAAACCGCAATCCCTCCAGACTAATGTTTCTATTAAAGTAGCATTTTCCAAATTACCAACTGTATTCTTATGCAGTAATGCAATTTCTGAATTAACTAGTACTGAAATGCATTAAATTATTCTGATAACTGAAACAAATTTTCTGATTCACCTTCCATCTGTAGAAAATGGGATGATATTTTGGTTTTAAGTCTTCTTTAATAATTATGTGGATTTAAATCACAGTGAAATGAGCCATTTGTTTGGACAGTTGAGTGGGCATAAAATCAAGAATTTGAAGTCTGGTATCTTTATAGTTAAATTAGTAACCAGTGCTGTGTTAACTAGGAGCCAAATTCCAATGTGTTGTTTCCGTATATATCCTGCAAAGGCACTTGAACAAGCATGTTCAGCAACAATCCTCCAAATGAGACATTGCAGTAAAGAATTGGATTGCTACTATGCATTTTTTCTATTAGGAAAGCTCCATCTTACTTGAATCATTCCAGGATTTTGGTTTTTGGTGAATGCATACCCCAACTTCTTTTTCTATACTTCTGGGTAGGGGTCACACAGTAAGTCATTTAGAGAGGTGCCTTTATCTGTGTTCTATAAAGTGGAATATGCATTTGCAGTGTGGTACTATATGAATATTTATGATTGAGTCTGTAATTACGATGAAAATTATAAACAAGCAGAGCTAGTATTTAAGATGTTGGTAAGCCTTAAACAAAGAAATAGACAGCTTTTGTTACAACAATAAAAGAACGTGGATAAAACAGTATGCAAAAAGTGAAGGATCACTTCAAGGTGGACAAGGTGGACATAATCTCACTATGAAGAAATTTAAGGTGTTACGAAAACAAGTGAGGACTAGGTATGACTAATCACTAAACAGTGGGCACCCATTAGGTGCATCCTGTTAGTCTCTGTTACTCAAACCAATATTCTGTACTCTTTCCATTCTGCTTTTCTCCTTTTGTTGTTTTTCTCATATCAGTTCCCAGCTTCCCTCTCTTTCCTTACTGTCTCTTTGTCAACATCTGATCCCCTCAGAGCTATTTGTAAATCAAATCAGTGACTGTCAGTAATGGACATGAAGGTGCTGCAATAGAATCTGGTGCAGAGGAAGAATTTAAATGAGTTAGAGGTAAGAAACAGAACTAAGTTATGAACTAATTCCACATGATGTAAGATATAAAGGCCTAGAACTGGGTCACTGATGTAGAAATCAAGGGGACATGCAGTGAGAGGGACATTTTTCATATAATGATGAATTGAAGTGTACTTATAAACAGAAGGTTTACAAGAAGACCTTGACAATAATATGACATAAGACAAATTGGGTATTTTTGCATTAGAAATGGTAGTATGGAGTTCCTGTTAAGTCTAGAAGTTTTACAGGTTTCAGTGCAACCATGGTTTCTGTCAAGAGATGATTATACATTATTTGAAAGCCTTCAGGTTATGCAAAGGCAGACTCTCTCTTGGTCAGCAGAGATGTATATAACATCAGCTGTCATGCTTTAAAATTACAGTCACTTCAAATATTTTTTTTGACAGATGACCTTAGAAGGTGACTCTGGGTCCATGTATCACTATTAAATAGGATACTAACAAAGCAAGAGCAAGCCGATGAATTCTTAAATGCAGTATCATAGTAGCAGGTGCAAATAGTAATAGAAATAAGAGACTAAGATGATGAAAGAAGGTAGAATCAAGTGTAGTAGCTTTTTTTGTATGTCGTTTGTTTAAAATAATTATCTTTAAGCAAACAGTGATAAGAATCAGTCAGCCATGGGGTGCATGGAGCACAGTAACCTTTATCTGCCCACAGCCTATGGACTATTCTCATGCTTACATATACAAGCAACCTGTGAACAAGCATACAGATAGTATGTGCCCAGGGAAGACACTCAGGTATCGAATTAGGGTACACTGTATGATGTTACACTGTGGAATGGCTGAATGTCACTTCTGTACTGCAAGGATCGGGTATTGAATATAATGCATCAATTATGAGGTTGCATCTGGAGTGCACAAACTGCATCATGTGTGACGTTGGAACAGTATTTCTGCTCCAGTGAGGTTGTCTGCACAAACATAGAAATAGACGTTTTCAATTTCTGCTTGTTTGTAAACTTTGTATATTTTATAAACATATACTTTGGTGTTGTGTCCTACTACTGTGATATCAATCCTTTCCCATGTCATTATTTCATATTACATTAAGCATGTTACTGCTGCCAGTTTGACCTTTCTTTTTCTACTGTTGTATGTAGTGTTTAACTTCCTATTTGAGAGATGACAGTACCATAGATACTCTGTGTTCATTTTTCTTCAAACAGTCTGGCAAACATGAAAATGTTTTGACAAAAGCTGGCCTTTCTGAAATTATGAAGCTTCTTAACATTCTAGGTCTAAAACAAAAGCTAAAAAGACTTTCAAAGGCACTGATGTAATGGAAAACTTCATGTATGGGAGGGAAAAGGGAGAAAAGTAAGTACTTAAAAGGGCAGCATGTATCTTTGAGTAAAGGCATGCTGGATGACCAAATTTTAGATCTACTCCTGCTTTCAGTGTTTTTGAAGCATGAAATGTATTTTTCAGTTCAGATGTATTGTTCCATAAGAGTGATACATTAGAGCTAATGCTGCTGTGAAGTAGGAAATTCCAAAGGCAGACCCTTTTCTTCTGTTATTTCTAACTTCTTTCCCTAAATAGATAGATTTTTTTTAGTTTTCTGTACTGAATACAGATAGTGTTCTGACTCATCCACCCTTAAAAACCTCACCAACCATCATCAGGGGGTTGAATAGCACAGATGTGGTTCTGTGTTCTTAAGTAACTTGAGTAGCATAGTGCACTTTTTTAAGAAGTGATGCTGAAGATCCTGAGTCTCAAAGGATGGTGGGAAAAAATAAAAATGACAGGAAAAGCAAAAATTCTTCCTCTCAATCTTTACTATGATCAAACTATATAGTAAACTTTTTCATTAACCTTTTCAGAAAATAGCTTTTAAATAATAATGAGATATAGAATAATGAAAGCTTTACTTCCTTTTAGGGTACTTGTCTTGCATTTTATGTACAAGTGTTAAAGCAGTGCACAACTGAACTGTTTTACGACTAACTGAAGCTATCCCTAGTTTAGCAGCGTTGGCTGATTAAATTTGTCTGCAAACATAGTGGGTTTATTCTTTTGCTTCTTCAGGACCCAAAAAATAGTCAGGGATGCGTCATCAAACCAAATGGAAATTGAATCAGTAACTGTAATTCTCATGGCTGAAAGTCAAATTCATCGAGATTTATAAAAACAGTAAAATGCATTGATTTCTGAAGGTTGCATTTGTTTATAGGATCAACAGTTATGCTAATGAGAAATCAGCAGTTGTGGATGAAGGTCAAAGTAGGTGGAAGGATCTTTTTGTTTTTTTCAAGTATTTTAAAAGCAACAGGTCTGGTTCATTACTGAATTTTTAGTTTATTTTCCTGAGCAGTGTCAATAGGTGATGTCCCAGTTCAACTACAGCAAGATTGAAAGGTGGTTCCTAAGAGGCTTAGGGTTGGACAGTGTAGCCCATGCTGAGAAGGGGTGAGAGCAATGTCAGGAGGATGACATCCACAGAGTGTTCTTTTCAGCATGATGCTGGGTTGTCTGAGGACTCTGAATTAACTGTAGCCTGAATGTAAAGCTTCAGCACCATAGCGTACCTTGAGTGCTACCAAGTCTAAGAAAGCCTATCAAGAAGTGCTGCCAAGTCTAAGAAAGCCATCTAAGAAATCTATCAATGGGATTGACTTCCTGAAAGTTAATATTTGTCAAAGTTTAGTTTTAGCAAATGGTGGGGTGGGAAGGCCGTCCATGATTCAGTTATCTGGATCAATTCTGATGTCTGAAAAATGTATGAACCAGAAATTACATGTTACTGCAGAGGGTCTCTGTGCATATCAACAGTATTTTCACTATTTGAAGTGACCACAAGGAAGAAGTAGTGATTCAAGCAATGGACAAAGCATGGGGTAGGCAGCTAAATTGCATGCTTTGAATGCTGTCTGGTTTTGAATGTTCGTTTTCTCTTAGTAACAAAAAATGAGACACAG